CACCTCTTAAATAAATAAATAAAGTCCACATTCAATTAAAGTTATTTTTCTCCTTATTGTAAAAAGTCTGAAGGTGTACGTGAGACCTCACACAGAGGATTATAGCTCGGTTTTTGTCACGCTTCACGCGTTTTTCCGGTTTTTGGTGGGATGACGTGGAAACCATGCATCGTCAGCATGTTTTTAAAATGAGCTACTTACTTTTTTGTTTCTCCATTCAAGAGGTAATGATAAAATAACTGCATGTGAGATAAAGTTATATAACAACATCTTTTAATTGGTTTGTTAGCGTAAGTAGTAAACCAATATACACGAAAAAAAAAGAATAATTACAATGAGGGACACTTTCTCCCTTCTTCCTTTCAATTGGGACATTTTTTTTTTCTTAGCACACTTTTGCTTGTTTTTGGTAGTTTCTCTGACCAAAATACCTTTAATAAGACAAAGCCACCGTTTTTTACTGCTTCATCTTGGCCGTTTTTTTCAAATTCGTTTAATGAAATTGTGTGGTTTAGATTAGAAGATTCCAAATAAATATGTGTTTATTCAGGACCGTTGGATTCAGTTTCTTTTTAATGAATATGTGCGGCCGAGATTGTAAGGTTATAAAGTCATGGTTTATTGTTGCAGAGCCGTTGATTCCATCTTCTGTATTCGAAATGTGCGGTCATGATGTGCATATTTTGAACGTGTGGCTGCAATTCTTTGAGATCGGAAAAAGTACACAACTTTGCTGTTTTTCAGCTGTGAGACACTACAATTCGAGGATAAGGTTTGGAAACCATGTTTGTCTAGGTCAAAACTTCATCTCTACCGTGTCCACATTTTGCTCTTTTTTGCAGTTTGGTATTCATATATACACATATCATGGTTCTGAGTATCCACCGGAACACTGTTTAGTCATCTGCGGAGATTGGCATTGTAAAGAAGATCAATCTTGAGATTTTGTTATTGATAAATACAGGAAGTCTAGGATTGTTGTTATCAAATCTGGTAACAAGCTTTCAGAGTTGTCTGAGCGTTTGGTCATTGAGTTTGGTCTTACTGAGGACGACAACACCGCTGCACTTAGCTATTGGCCTGGTAACATTTGCGACTTCGTAACTGGTTCTAAAATTCCTCATGTTTTACTCACAAGCGACGGTGCTCTGGATTTTTTTGTTAGTCAGTTACGTTTGAACAAATCACTAACCTTGTGTGTCAAATTCATCACCTCTGGTAAACGAAAATCGAATGGTTTCTCTCAATCATCTGGATATACTACTCCGGTAATCGACAGTAAACGGAGATGTGTTTTTTCTTCACCGGCTTCGAACACAAATTCGAACCACACCGTGCCATCAAAATTCTTACATGATGAAGATGTTGGTTTACCATCTGTTGGATCAAAGACAAACTATATTTTAACTGATGATGAGTTGATAAAAGGCGTAGAAATTGCTGAAGCCTTGTTTGCTGAGTTTTCTGGAAAGAGAAAGGATACTGATTTTGCTGAGTCTTCTGGAAAGAGAAAAGAAAGTGAATCAGATACTAAAGATGAAGAAGACAGATTTGGTACCGAATCTATCCCTGATTTTGACCTAGGAATTGATGATGTGAACGATACTAGGCCTCGAGGTTACAATATAGATTTTTGGGGGAAATTTATCGACAATGTGGTTCAAATGTTATCGAAATCATGTGTAGTCCACACAAAGTAGGTGACAACAATAAGTGGATGAAAAGGAACTAGGTCTTATGCAGCTCCAACGACGCTTTTGATCACATGGTTGTGTTGAATGGTGGAAGCAGTAGCTCAGGTGACCTCCCCAAGCAAAAAGAAGAAGTTAAAGGTCGTTTCACTGGGTCTGTCAAAACAGACTCACCATACATGGCGAAACATTGTGGATTCCAACCAGTGGATAAACATATGTATGGTCAAGGTTCCGCTCCCGCACAACAACAGAGACTAGCTGACATT